TATAAGGACCAAATGAACTATCAGGGCCAAGGCCAGATAGGATATCCTATAAGGTCTCTCAACCTCTGCTGGTAACTGGTACACGGTGGTGACACCATCAGCAGGCGTGGTCGTCGTCGCCGGAGCTGATCTCCAATTTGCTGTCGGGCTTCAGGATCACGAAGGTCGGTGCCGGTAGTGTTGTCGACAGACATCTCAGCTCGCAAGCCACGACGTTTTGCCTCTTTGACAAGGCGCGGTGGAGAGTAGACTTCAGCCGCCGCCTCATGGTTGGTGCCCACGCTGCCATAGATCTCCGCGACATCGTCGGTCTCCTCGCACCAGAGTGTCCAGTACGTGTCTTGCTCTCCAAGCAAGTGGTCGAGGCTCTTGTTCAACTCCGTCTTGAGGCCCTTCGTCAAAGTGAGTTCTCGCTCATACTCAGCATCAATCATATAGTCGAGGAACTCATTGTCGAACTCATAGAGGACGACATAGGGCATGGGAGCTTGTAGATGGTACACTTCGCCAGGAGTAGTGGTGCAACAAACGGCATTCCACAAGCCATCATCGCAGGTCAGGATGACCTTTCTGCTACAAATCGGCTGTGTCACCACTGGCGAGTGCCCATCCACACAATCACCGTATCCGACGGCTACATAGGTGTTGGAGTGAACAATGCCCAGGGAGTCCGCGATGTCATAGAAGCTCTGAGGCAGTTGCACTTCTGGCGGAGGCGTGGTCATCCACCAACTGGAATTCAATGACGGACCAGCAGGTCCTCGTGGAAGCGTCCCATCCGGCCATATGCGTGGACGAGCTCGTGCTTGAACATTGCCATGTTGCAGTTGGGGTTCATGCACTGCCACTCCGCATCCTCCTCCTCCGGCGACTCCTGTGTCAGGATCATCCCGCGCGATTGGCATTGAGGGCATAGGAAGATCCCTGTCGCCTCCTCGAGCTCTTGATGAAGTGTGATCCAGTAGAGGTCGCATCGAGTGTTCTCGCACTTCCAAACCAGATGGGAGGTCGTCTTGTGGCGGTGTAGTCGAACTTCTCCCTGATGGCAACGGTTGCAACTCTGGGCCAAGGTCTCCATCATCATCTGGCCCATGTCCACGTCCTCGGTCAGCATGTCCCATGGGATTTCCGTTGGACTGCTCCACTCCTCCTTCACCACTTCGGTGATTGCCGGTGAACTTGAGCTCTTGGCCTTGGCTTTGATAGCAGTGGCCTTCATCTTGGGAGTGGACGGTGTCCGAGACTGACCGGCCGGGTTCTTTGAGAGGTTCGCCATGAAGGACTCCTTGGCCTCCTTGGTCTTTATCTTGATGTCCTTGAGCATGTCGTCCCAGGGAATCTCCTGGTAGAAGTCGCTCCTGATGTAGACCATCCTCTCGTTCCACATTTGCAGCTGGTCCAGGGTTGTCAACGGCATCTTTTGCTCCTGCATGCATTTGTTGCACTTGGCCCAGGTGAGGTACTTGTTGGCTCCATGCTTTGTGTCCGGGTGAGTGCAATCCGGACTCGGTTCGAGCATTGGGACCAAGTACTTTCCACGTCCTTTGATGCAGGCCAGTGGCCGATGTCGATCTTCCCCACTGGAGATCTTGAGGGTACCCGTAGGTGTCGTTGAGCTCGCTGCAGCTTCTGCTGTGATCTTCTGTTCGGCTTGGTGCAGCTCGTGAACACGACGTTCCAGGCTCTTCCTCTGCTGCTGCAAACGCCGAACTTGCCGGAGTTGAGGTGCACGGCAAACTTCCAGCATGCATTGATGGACCTGCAGGGAAACGTAGGTATACAGCCGCAGCAGTAAGCGCCGCCAGCGGGCCCACGAAAGGCATGGCTTGCCCATCCGGGAGCGAAAGCGTGGTCCAGTTGGGAATGCTTGGGTGTGCTTTGGAGTAGGAGGACTTAAAAGTGATTTGTAACTTACTTGCAAATTCAATATGTTGCCCAGAACCTGTCTAACTAGACTAGAAGTAGTGTAACTTCTGAAGACTTCTGCAGAAAGTTACAAGTTACTTAGGAATTTGTTCCAAGATATTTCCCCTAACTTAATGGAAGTTATTTTGAACTTATTTTGAAGTTATTTTTTCACAGAAAGCTTGTTGGTTTTCTGTTTGGTTGATAAGCAAAAGTTGCGCCGCTGAACCAACCTCCTCAGTTCATAACTTTTTTGGCTTGCCATTTTCATTGCGGTTTTCACCGTTTCAGGATGAACGGAAATGTTCACATTTCAAGTTTCCGCATCAGATTTCATTTCACCACATCACTAAAAAGGGGTGTGTACTAGTGAATAAACAGCCTGCCTGGGCTTGTTTCTTCAGAGCACCGACTGAAGCTTAAAGACATGACCTATGATAGCAGCCAAGCCAGTGAAGCGCACGGTAAATGTAACTCTCACTTTTAAATAAACTATATTTCTCACTCTTCAAATTTAGGGGTGGCCTGGCTCTGCGTTTTCAAGAAGGAGAATATAAAGTAGTTCTGCAAGGTTGCCGATGCCTTTAGAAAGGACATGCAAATCCAACTTGAAAAATATGTCAAATTCACTTTTTTTTCAAGTTACACCCAAGGTGCTGGTGATGCAGGTCCCCGCGTAACTCGCACCTTTTTGACCGCAAAAATCAGCAAATTACAGGAAGCCACCCGTATACCACCGTATACCGTCCGTATACCATCCGTATACCATGCCAGGATCCCAGCCGTATACCACCGTATACCGTCCGTATACCAGCCGTATACCATCCGTATACCATGCCAGGACCCCAGCCGTATACCACCGTATACCGTCCGTATACCAGCCGTATACCATCCGTATACCACCATGGCCCCCGTCTACACTACCGTCCGTATACGACCCGTATACCACACCGCCCCCACCCACCCTCCCCCTGTCTTCAATCTTTCCAGGTGTTATTTTTCAGTTTTCCATTGAGCTCTTTTCAGGGACTCAAGCAGGGACTGACTAACAAAAGGAGGCGCAAATTTTGCGGGGCAATGGGGAACGTGCAGTCTTGATTCCTGTCGAGATTGTATTTTAATGCACATGGTCACTGTCTCTTTCGCATGCGCAGACGAGGGCCAAATCCACCTTTTCCGATAGCGCGTGACAGAAACAAGATGCCTACGGGGTTCTGTTCTCACCGCTTGTTTTATTCAGGTTGTTGCGTGAAAATGCGGTGCTCACCGCTGGTTTACATCATGTTGTTACGTGAAAGTGCGGTGTTCACCACTGGTTTACATCATGTTGTAACATGAAAGTGCGGTGTTCACCGCTGGGTTTACACCAGGTTGTTGCATGGAAGTGCGGTGTTCACCGCTTTGCACTGAGCAGGTTGGTGTCAGCGAGCGGCAGTGATTTTGAAAAATATTGAAAATAGTCCATCTGGTTTCTTGGATTTTCAAAAAATGAAGTTATTGGAAGTTATTTCGAACTTACTTTGAAGTTATTTTGGTTGTTTTTCTTAAGTTCTATAACTTCCAAATAAGATAGTTGCAAGTGCCGCAACTCAAAAGGCACACCCAAGTGGCCTCCAATGACCACGCTTGACTGCGACAAAATGCGTAGTCGGAGGGCACGTGGAAACCATGCTCACCAAACTCACAAACACCAATTGAAACATGTCCAGTGCTTTGCCGTGTCAT